TGAATTTGGCATTCCCTGGGAATCGAACACATGACCTTGGTATTTCATCTAATGTTAATTTTATTTTTTTTATTTTATTTTATGAATTTGGCATTCCCTGAGAATCGAACACATGACCTTGGTATTTCATCTAATGTTAATTTTATTTTTTTAAATTTTATTTTTGAATTTGGCATTCCCTGAGAATCGAACACATGACCTTGGTATTTCATTTTATTTTATTTTATTTATTTTATTATTTATATAATTTTTATTATTTTGAGTCTGTTTGGACTGGAATCGTGTCTGGGTTCAGATCTCGTTCTACTTCGGCGTGATCTGTTCTTCTAGAGCGTGTCCTTCACGGAGGACGGTCACGTGAGCGTTATGAGGACATCCTCTCTGTCTGGAGTCACTGTTTCAATTAAAAACAGGATGCCGTTATTTCTGCTTTGTCCCTAAAGATGCTCTTTCAGACGCAGATGTCTCTCGCAGCCTCTGGGGTTTTCTACAAGCCTCTGCAAGACACAAAACCTCACAGAAGTTCCTCTCGATTTAACAAACCCTCACACCGGCTGCCCCCAAAACCTACTTTTCAGAAACACTGAGTGCTGCTTCTGGAGGTAATGAGGCATCGTTACCTGAATGATTTGTGTCCTGAAACAAACATGAAGGGGAGTTTGTGTTCACAAGGTCAGAGCTTCATCACGTGCTGCTTTACTCACGAGAATCATCTGCTGCTATTCAGACCTCAAGTGGGAAACAGTGTTGTTTTATACTGTTATAATATTTATGAATAATCTGAATTTGCTTTTGTTTTGTATTTTCATGTATTTTTATTTTAGTATTTCAGATTAGTTGATTTTAGTATTTCAACTTATTTTATTTTAGTTAGCTGCCAATTTTCGTTTAAGTTTTCTTTTTTAAAAGTATTTCAAATTTTTTTCATTTCATTTATGCATTTGGCATTCTTAGGGAATCAAACCCATGACCTTGGGTCCAATTGACCCCAATATTTTATCCAATATTTTTATTTTATTTTTTTTATTTTTTTTTTATTATTTTATTTTATTTTATTTTATTTTATTTTATTTTATTTTATTTTATTTTATTTTATTTTATTTTATTTTATTTTATTTTATTTTATTTTATTTTATTTTATTTTATTTTATTTTATTTTATTTTATTTTATTTTATTTTATTTTATTTTA